GCTGGATTTTTGAAAAAAAATTGTTCCCATTTCAACTGAAATATTGGACAGATTTTTAAAAATATCAGGGCGGTCCGCGTACTTAACTCTGAATTGATTTTGCCGTTGTTGCAGATGATGGAGCTAAGGTACTTAAATTGGTGGACCTCCTGAAGCGCTTCACAATCATGTTCCACTCGTAGGTCATCTGGACCGGATGCGTTCCTCATAATTTTTGAATTTCGGGTGTTTAGGAACATGCGGACTTTCTCAGCTGCATGCAGAATCCGTCAGAAGGCAGAGCCTGTTCCCTGTGCTACTCACTAAGGCAATACGATCGGCGTACTTCAGGTCAGAAGTGCATAGTCAGGCGGGGTCACTGTCGGATCATCATCTGGTAATGATAGCAAGTAGCGAACCCCACTTGACGTACAACTCATCAGGTTTATATTATCTACGTACTCCAGAGTAGCAAGAGATCTAGCCGGGTTTCACCAGATTTTCCGACAGTCTTGCAAGGATCTCACGGACCTTTATCAAGGTACAAATGGTGTTTACCAGCTGATGTGTATACTTTCAACAGAACCGATTCATGTCCGGCAATAAAAACTTTAGAGTACGCTGACCATTATATGCAATGCACAGCTTAATTTTAAAGGAGTAACCAAGGTCCGTATCGAAAGCGGAGTTCATGAGAACAAAAAGCATTATATTATCCTGATGCTCAATATAGTTTTGAAAATGTTTCATGCGCATCCATTGAGGACATAAATTTGAATATGTTACGCACTTCTTAATATTAGCACATTACGCACTTGAAAATATTAGTATCGTAGAGGGCTAACAAAGTAATTGATGCTCTGGAGACTTTTCAAGTAAACCGAAACGTCCGCTTTGCAACTAAAGTGGCATAGTGGATTGTAGTTCGCTTTTTCACTTTAAGAGTGCCGGATTTGTGTCTTAGTGCGGCGTAAACTTTTCACATTAACCGGTAATTACCTTGAATATGCAATTCACTCGATTGTACTTCGGAGCAGCCACTCGACAAACGAGTGTCATGTCACTGATTTCAGAGTAACATGGACAGCGTGGTGTTCTGGCGTGGTCATGCCAGAGGGTGCGAGACTCTAGTCATGCTGTTTGATGTGTGCGTTTTGCGGTTGCAATTGACACTGGTCCGCTTGATAGCCGTTTACGTTCTATGCGATTGGGCTTAAAGTTCAGCTCTCGCTTAACGTCTGCAAAACATGTACGCGTTCCCATACAAAATGGAGGCAGTGATTTCGAACCAAGAAGCATTCGCAAAGACGGCAACTGCTTAGTACGAAAGATAAGCTTTGTCCCTCATGCTGGGACGGCTCATCTCAACTTATACTAGAGACTGTGATTGTCTCCAAAATCTATCTGATTGCTCAAGGTGAATGCAGGCTCTGAGATAGCTGGTCCCATTTTCCGGTCCGGCCACGAGTAGTTACGACCAGCAGGTGCTGATGTGCTACTCTCGCAGGTAGCATGGTTACCGCAATACTGAGCCATCACTCTACAGCCCCGAATGAAACAAACTTGGATTTCAACAAAAATCCCACATTTGAGCGACCTCATAAAGAAGGCCAAGGAAGTAGCCGGTAGCAACAAACCATCGAGTCGAAGCTGAAACGCTTATGTTTCATCAAGGCTGTGAACGCCAGTTTGCAGTCAAACAAAATGCGCTGGAAAACGCGCATTTCTAAAGAATTAGAGACAGTAGTAGGTAGAAGAGAAGTTGGACTATTGTTGAAAGGTTCATGACTGCCGACCGGAAACAAAAGTATTGTTAACATTTTGATTCGGTTTGGAACAAGCATGTCAGTTACTGACCCAGCAAGCAGAACAGCTATAGCTATGGGACGAACATTGCCGTAAGTTTTGAACATTGTTTATTCACCCGATACTTTGCGTTCGATGGAACCCATTCAAAAGCAGTGAACACGAGGATCTAGCCTTCTTCGGCAAGGAAAATCAGCTAGATTTTGAAAT